GGAAGCCACCGAGCCGTAACACAGAGCATTCCTGAGCGTTCAGACATACTTTGTTGCTCCTTGTGCATCATTCGAAGGCCAGCAAATTCTGTAAAAGCTCTGAGACTCGTATGGCGTAGTTACACGATCGGCAACCGTGCAAATTGCAGCATGCGAAGGGTTCGGAAGGAAGAAACCGGCGTATCATAGAGAAAAAGATGTGCATGTTTCGGAAGCACAGCAAGGGTACTGTGGGGTTGCAGCATTAGCCACACAAAAGCTTCGACGTTTCGGTACATGGGTGTTTTGCAAGAAAGTTCAACGCCATGAAGAGCCAGATAAGCCCTGGTGGCAAGCCCAAGGCTTGTTCAGTTCTTTCATGTAATCTTCCGAGCCAGGAGCCACAGTGGAGACCCCATTTGGTCAGATCTTTCTAGACCCGCAACCCTAAACCCTAAACCCTAAACCCTAAACCCTAAACCCCTAAACCCTAAACCCTAAACCCTAAACATAGACACCCTGAGTCCGAGCCCTACGCACTGAGGTCTATTCGGACATTACCTGTAAGGGCGACGGCCTGCCGGGCAAAGCGATGCTCGATTTGACTCAGGGTTGAGGGTTTAGGGTTTAGGGTTTAGGGGGTCTTCTGGGTCCTATAGGCCCTAGCATTGTAGCGTTCAGGGCGGATCGAAGGTTTCGGATTTAGAGGGCGCCGTGCAGCAAATGAGGAGGCTGGTGAAAAGCTTGGCATTGTAGGGAACCCTGACAATGCTGTGCGACCCAATGAAGAACAGAGCCGCATGCCAGCTGAAGGGCAGAGGGGTTTTAATAGGATCCCAAGGCCCATATACTGGAGATGCGAAGCGGTCCAAAAAATCTAACGCCCCCTCGTAAACCACAGCACTCCTTGTACGCCAAAACCCGAATCTGATTTGTCGTTGGTATTTGCCTCTTTGGATTCAGTTGTGTTATCATCCTGTGTGGCTTTCAGTCTGCTCCTGCAAGCCGGAACTCTAGTCATTCGTGTACTGGCATTGCTTGTGTCAATATCAAAGCCTACAAAACTAATCAAGCTATTGCCCCTGCGAATTCGTGTTTGCGGTTATCCCTTGGTTTGGAACCCCAAAGGATATCTGAGCAAGACATATGTATTTACATACATATATATATATACATATATATATATATATATATACATATGGCACAGTGTTCATGCGTATGTATTTGGTTTGTTCACTTGTTTATTCATCTACTTATGTAGGTGTTTGTTTCATTCGTTAATCCACCCTATCCTAGGCCCTAAGTTTTCAACAACGAACCCTGAAGCTGACCCTACATCCCACAGTGTCTAAGTTTCTTCTGTTTAGAGCTCACCGAGTCTGCCCAAGGACTTGCGATGAGCAAGATGTCACGGCCTGTGACGGGAAGTACACCAAGGTCCTCGGGCTTCCAAGAAGCAGACTGTTCGTAAGCGTAAAGTAGAGTATTCGGGCCTTTGGGGTACCTTTGGAATATGGACCCTAAGCCCTACATAGACCCTAAACCCTAAACCTGCTACTTACGGTTTGGGCCCCTGTTCAGACCGCTTCTTTTCTGAAGTTCCCTCAAAGCCTCGACTCCGAACCATGGCTTCCATGAACTCTCTACCTTTCTAGGGATTCTTTAGGGTTGTAGGGTTTAGGGTTCTACAGTTTAGGGTTCTAGGGTTCTAGACTTTTCGGTTCTAGGGTTGTAGGGTTTAGGGTTCTAAGGGCTGCAGGGTCCAATAGGGCTTAGGGTTCGGGTAGAATGCGTCGGGGACTAGCTGTCAAGTCCCACTCCTGCAGAGCAGTGGGCCGGACAGGCTTTCGGAACCTCTGGGTCTGGGGTTAGGGAGTTTAAGCGCAAGTTAGGGTTTAGGGTTTAGGCTGTCCAGGATGGTTAATTTCGCGCTTAGAGTCTAAAGCTTGTGGTAGATGGTGGAGATGGCCGGGGCCATGGAACCAAAGTGCGCAAAAGCAAAAGAGACGGCTTGAGTCGGTGCTTTGGCGTTGCTAGTAACTCTGAAAGGGCCTTTGTTTGCGACGTCTTTTTTCGATTTCAGCAAGTAGAGCATGGCTGGCCTTCTGAACGCTCGGATGTATTTCGCAGATTCGTGTTTTGTCGCCTGACTTGTGGAGACCAGCTCCACTTCCTGCTACTCCAGCTGTCCAGCTGCTGGCCCGAAGGGGCCGGTCGACCGTGAGGAAACCCTAAACCCTAAACCCTGAACCCTAATTTACACAAAATTCAACAGGCGTCGGCAACCTCGGCGGCTTCAACGCAGGGGTTGGTATCTTGAGATACTCTTTCGGACGGGAAGGTAACCCCCGGTAGTCCTGAAAGCTCAGAGCTTTTCTTCGGCTTAGGGCTTATACATGCAGCTCCAAATCCCACAAAACGAAAGGATATGACCCTGTAAGTCTGGGGTCTGTAGCCTGCATTGTACTCGTAGGTCCCACGTTATGGCCAAAACGTGATTCCCACTAGATTTCCGTTGTCAAGGCAGTTTTCTGTCTTAGTGCCTTGTGTAGTCTTGAAGCCCGGCTAGTTCCTGTGCCCAAAAGCCCCGCAGATGAACGCGCAAAGGTCACGACCTACACCGGCTCCTACTGCAAAGTCACAACGAGTGAGACGAAGAAGCAATGTCTAGCTGTCGGCCCTGTCTGCTCCATTCCCAGCTGAGCCGGCTCACAGCTGGCATCAGGCTTAGGGCAGAAGTTTAGAAATAATGTTTGCATCTGATCCGACAGAGCACTGAAAGTTTTGTGTTCGAAGCAATGGTCCCAAGCCCCAGCCCCCCAAACATCCGCCGAAGCACGAAATCAATCGGATATGCTGTTTGTGATTCAATCAGCCACACAGTGACACAAGAAAACTGTTCAACTAGCCATCACATGCCTCTAACCCCCTATACACAGGGAGGAGCACTACACAAAAAGTTTCAAGCGGAAGCTGAATGCCCCAATGCCCTGAACCGAAAACATGAAGCCATCAAGCTCTCAGCCCCTGATAAAGTTAACAGTGTCAACTGAATACTTGATTGCCCCATGTAGGCGTTTAGGGCTTAGCTGCCCAGCCTAAAGCATTGAAGATGCGAGGCTAAGGTTTCTACAACTTTAGGCGTTCGAATTCAATTGGTGCGGGGACACGCGGGGATTTTATGGTTACCGGGTTTCGGTTCGTGTTTGACGGCTTTAGTAGTTAGGGTTCGGGTGTTCGAGTGTCATGCTTTCACGTATGAAGGATATTGGATTGGTGTTTACAGGTTAGGGTTTAGGTCTGTCGCCGGTCAAGACCTGTTTTGTGAAGTTTGCCAGGGAACCACGTTATCGTCTCTGGGTCGAGGGCCGTTTGTGCTACCCAAGCCGATCCAGCCTCTGGAGGTTTAGTTGAATGTGTTTTGCTTTTCGCATCTTGCATGGAGTCTGAGACAGCCTGTCTAGTATGACCATATAACTACTGTGATATCCTCAGCGGCGTGCCGTAAAGATATACCTCCAGTTTATTGAGTTTTACATGTTCTTATGCATCCAAGGGGCTGTAGCTAAGCACCCTCTCGGATGTTTTAGTCGCTCCAAAAACTACTCGCCATCTGTCCTCTAGGCACAGGAAACTCCAATCGGAAACAAAAAGAATGGAAGAGCACCCGGTTCTAGAGCCCTGCTGGGAGTCCAGACAAGGACGTGTCTTGATCGGACACAGACGCGACCGATTCAAAAGATGTGTGCGAGTACAGGGTCTTCAATGGGTCAGGGCTTTCGGGGTTAGGGCTTTAATGTAGGGGCCTAAATAGTTAGACTAGGGTTTTGGGGCCTGTTATGCTCTAATTACAATAATTAAGGAGCCCCCCCAAAATAGTATTGGTAATTATCTAGGCCCCTACATTAGGTTTAAGAAGGTCCGGGCTTAGGGCTCTGTCCGGTTTGGTTCACACTGAAGTTGGCCGGTACTTCCAACGACTTCCTTCGGCCCCCTTCGAGGAACCCATGTAGGGAAAGCCTTGGAAGCCCTTGCTGTAACCTGTATAGGAAACCCTACATAACCTAGTGAACATACCCCTTCCTGTTCCGTGTTACTTCCCCTCCTTGCTTTAATGTAGATATGTCCGAAGGCTATCGATACCAGTATGTCTGAAGATATCGACATTTGGCCTAAGATTATCGATGTGGCGAGGCTTATAGTAGGATCCCGGTACTTGTTTTCAGGCTCCTTTGAAACATCGGTGAGTTCTCTCTGTGGGGATATTGATAATGCAAGAAAGGACCTACTTCTGTCAGGGTCTGATTTCTTTAGGGCTTTTTCATTATATAGCATCCACAATTCCAATCTGTGGCCTGCAAACCCCCAAACGAAACCTAGGCATCTTTCCTGGTAGCAGAAAAGGCCCTCGATTAAATCTCTCCAGCAGGTGACACTACGCCGTAGGAGTTTAAGGGTTTAGGGTTTGGGGAAGGTGAGAAGTCAGTGCTTTTCGGTCTGGGGCTCTTCTAAACTAGGGTCTAGACTAGGATTCCCGGTCATGACAAGCTTGTCCTAAACGAGGTCAATCCCCCGGCTTTTCCGAGTTGTGAGAGCGTAAAAAGACGTCAAGCAGATATTTCGACGGGAGCCTTACTTAAAGGATCATGGGACTTAGTAAGTAGGGTTATAACTAGGGTAACTATACTTATAACCCCAATTAAGGGACTTATAACCTTAATTACTAAGTCCCATGATCCTCCAAGTAATCTGTAGGCTTTGTGAGGGTGGCATGCTCGGTGGGGGTCGGAGGGTTCTCGTCCCATGTCCTGCCAAAATTGGCCGTTAACTTGAAGGCATACTGCAGTCCTGAAGCTTGTTTCGTTAACGCCACAGACTCGCCGTTTTCGCACGATTGATTGTCGTTTTCGCAAGTCTCGCATCTTAGTTATATGGGGTTTAGTGGCGACATGTAGTGAAAATATTGACCAACGAGAAAGGGGAGGGAGATACCCAGTCGCTTCCATTGCCACGTTTGCAAGGCTTCCCGTTCTTGTTCCCCATCCCGGGAACGAGCTCGGCAAGACAGCATGAGTCCAGCGCACCAGAGCTGGCTCTGCTGTTCCTGCTCCTGGGCGCCGTGTTCTGTCACCACCTCCAGGACACGAGTGGGACCTGTAAGTTTCATGAGTTTAAAAAAAAGAGAGGTGTGAACTTTCAGGGGTTCACTGCCTCAATGAAAACCGCCGGAAAAGGAGCACATCTCGCAAGAAGCCTTCACCTACTGGAATTATGTGAGAGCGTACGCAGGGTTTATACGACTTTGGAAGTTCATGGGGTTTGGCATTGAGAGGCAACCCCAAACCCTAAGCCCTTAACAAGTCTCTTTGGGCTCCTGGAACATCACTATCACCCGAAGCCAAAGCTAGAAAAATCAGGAAGGCCGGCAGGAAGCATATAGTAGTTCCATGTTCCAACTGTTTGGCCTTGAGCCTTTGGTCTTGGCCTTCGGGGTTTGCTGCTGGGGTTGGGTGTTGGGTTTAGGATTTAGCATTAGGGTTTGGGGTTTGGGGTTTGGCCTAAACCCTAAACCCTAAACCCTAAACCCCTAAACCCTAAACCCATCAACCCTAAACTCGAACCCCTAAACCCTAAACCCTAAAGGTTGAGGACTTCCGATGTTTAGGCTGCTGAGCTTCGGGAGTTGAGTCGAGAGCAGAGCGGAGGCCGACCTGGCTTAGGCTTGAACCAGAAGCCGACATGAACCGTTCTTGGACAAGCGACTCCCAAAGAGAACCACTGCATAGCCTTCCCAAAGCTGGATGAGATCGGATACAATTTTGTTACTAGCAATGGTGGCTCGGGACTGCAGGCCCAAAAGATTCATGGCTCAGAGATTTCTACAAATCCCCCCCAAAAAACCCTAAAACCCTAAACCCTAAAGCCCAAACCCTAAACCCCAAAAAACAGAACTGGATCAGGATCTCGTCGTCCAAGCCGGCGCGCCCGACACTCTTCTGGACGACTTCGCAGTACACTCTGCCCTGGCAGCGGCAGCACTGCTAGGAGGGGACCCCGGGTTCCTGGGTTGGGGGTTTAGGGTTTAGGGTTTAGGGTTTAGGGTTTAGGGTTTAGGTTCAATTATATTATGTTGCAGAAGCCCGATACTCGAATGCCCCACAACCCTCAACCCTAAACTTTAAACTCTACCTTTCGAAATCTGAAAGCCTTTATAGATTTAGATAGCAGAAGTCATGCAAATGCCACCCTGATCCTTCTCACCTGGATCTTTTCGCTGGGAGTTTGGGGCTCTATAGGGTTAGGGTTTCGGGTTTAGGGTTTAGGGTTTAGGGTGCTTCACGGCGACGGCAGTTCCGGGCGAGAGAGGCCTGCTGCAAAAAGGGTTTAGGGTGCAATAATAGGCCTGGATGCAAAAATAGGGTTAGGGTTTCAGGCGTATCCATGGTTTGGGGGAATCTGGCTTCCGAGCTTTGGGTTTTGGGACCCAGAGCCTCCACTCCTACAGGGGTTTTTAACAACCGAATCCGAAAGTCCCTGTGACTTGGAGGTGTAGAAGTGCAGAGAATCAGTGATAATTGATATGCACTGGCCCACATCGCGGTTCTAATGGCCTCAGCAACAGCGATATCAAGGCCACACAAAATTATTCGCGCGATTGCGGAGACAGGAGACGCTCTTCAGAGAAATGAGACCTCGTCTACAAAGCTCTAAGATCGTTCGGCTAGAGAAGACGAGGTGAAGCGGCAACACGCTGAAGAGAAAAGTAGTGTGCCATTACTATCACAGCTCGGACATGCGCAGCGGTAGGTTGTGATGAGTGAAGCCACTCTAACGGCATGGGTAGCACAACATGAGTCCGGACAATTATGTGAGCTGAGCGCACAGTCGTATCCACGAGCACGCTGCTAACACGGATAGTAAGCTTCTTTCGTCGTAGTTTAGGATGCAACGAGCACTTTATGAGCTCGCTCTCTATACAAGGAATTTGACTTTTTTTTGAAGTCAGACAGAGCTAAGCTCCAGGACCGGGAATATTCGTGTGGATGATGGACCGTTTGGCCAGAGGTCCCTGGGATCTTCCTGGGCCCTAGACAGTCGGATCATGGGAAGAGGGTGATTCGTGAAAGGATTCCCTAATCTTCATCTTGAGGGCATGAAGTTCATGACATGCCAACTTTCTGGCTCCTACTTTACGCGCTGGGTGGGAGGAATGAGGATGCAGAGGTCAGAGGTTCATATTCGGTCTCAGAGGTTCTGGAGTTCTGTCAGAGGACCAGAAGTAGAAGTCCACCCTCAGAGCCCGAGGTGCTTGGAAGAGGCTTCCGGGTCTGACTTGGCGGTTTAGGATTCAGGAGACATCTTCGACGGATTCGACTGTGTTGAGATGCAAACCCTAAGAGCTTGTTAGGTCCTGGGTCGTCGATTAAGGCTGAGGTGCTCGGAATTCGGAAGTTTGCTGGGGAAAGATTGGTTCGAGGACCAGAGACTTGCCACACCGTGATTTGTTCATGGCGAGTTTCAAGGACTTTAGCTCGAGTTTTATCTGCTTCCGGTTCAGGGGCATGGTTCTGCATGGGTGTTGAGCCTGAAATGTGTTGTGAAGCTGCATTTCTCCCCAAAGAGCAGATTGGCTCTAAGCACCTTCTTCCGCTGAGAATCATGTCTCCAAGCTTCTGTAGCTACATAATAGTTCTACATTTCTCATAATGCTCTTAACTTGTCATGAGATTCACAATAATGACCAAAAATAGTTGGTTCATAGTAAAAGCTCTTAGAATCTTAGAACGATCCCGGGAGAAGAGCGACCAAGGTTTGAGCGCTCTCTTCTATCCGGAGCAGAAGCTGGGGCGCTGTTCAACATCACTTCACTCTTTCGTGGGATCAGATCATGAAGCCCGAGCCCAAACCGGGATTCAACAGCAGCCAAGGAAGGTCTTGAATGATTTCTTGGACTTGGGCTATGCCTACCTGCCTCTCACGTGGCTCGCATCTTTGGCTCACTACCTGAAGCTTGTCCTTATGCAGAAGGCCTTAAATAATTGCCTATACTATCTTTGGGGTTCCTTATTATAACTATAGTATAATATACCCCAAAACCCTATTCTAACTATTAAGGCCCCTATATTAAGTGTGGAAGGTCTTCGGGATGTGGATTCAATCTGCAGCGAATGATAAGTTGGGGGCCTCGAAGGATGTTTTTTTGAATGTAGCCAGACTCACAGTGCAATACTTTGCAATGCCAGACTCAGACTGTGATACTTTGCAGTGCAACCCAAAGCAAGAATCCCTTTGCCAACCCCCCAGAATGCATGCTTGTAGTTTTCTAAATTAGGGTCCCTTTTTTGGGGTCCTTTTTATAAGGGTGCCGTACTATATATGGGACCTAAAAAGGGACCCTAACTTAGAGAACTACCCATGCAACCTCTGCCCTGCAGGGATCGAAACTCTTCTGCCCAGCTTCCCAAGGAAACTTGGCCTGGTGGATGCGGGGCAGGTTCTCCCCACCGCTGCACGGACCGCGAGCTTCTTTGTGGCGGGCCTGGCCGAGCCCCTTGGAAGAAGGGTTTAGGGTTTAGGGCTTAGGGCTTAGGGTTTAGGTTAAGGGTTTAGGGTTTAGGGTTTAGGGCTGCTTTGGCGTTGAGGTTGCCAAGGGTTCGGCGCAAAGAAAATTCAAGCACCGGCATTCCTGTGGGGCTTTCTTCTTTTGCAAGTTTTTGCTCTCATGAAACTTCAATTCAACTTGAATCCCCGCTACCCCCAAAGCTGTAAACTGTAATCTCGCAGAGCCTTTAAGCTGTAATGTCCAGTAGCGATGTCTTGGTGCATCGGTGTTGCCGCTACGGGCATGAAGCTCAAACCTACGACAATCCCAGACCGGGTTGATGATTCGAGGGCCAACAGGGGCATCCACTCCAGAGTTTTCAGTTGCTAGTTTTCCCTATAGGTACAATGCCAACGGTTGTGGTATTCGTATACTAGAACCTACTACAGGTCTAGCGTTGCTCGTTTCTGTCGCGCACTTTCCGTCTCAGGTGAACCGTGCCAGTCCGTACGTCATATCGCCGAAAACCCAGGGCCCTCCCCCTGAAACCGCCGATCCCAGGTTTTATGGCCCCAGAACCAATCCCTAAACCCCCAAACCCTAAACCCTAAACCCTTAAACCCTAAACCCCCAAACCCTAAACCCCTAAACCCTAAACCAATATCTTCGTGGGCCCAGGATGGCCTTAGCCCCAAAGCCTCTGACGCCAAAATGGGAGTTTCCGAAAATAGGGGACCCTAATATAGTACCCTAAATAATAGGATCCTTATTATAAGGACCCCAAAATAAGGTACCCTAATTTTCGCAAATCTCGCCGGTCGAACTCAGGTGGGCCCCTTGGGCACCAGGCACATCCTTTGCGCAGGAGCAGCTGAAGTTCTTGGAGGCCAAACCCCGTCAACCCCTGGGCCTAGGGCCTAGGGGTTTGGAGTATATTATGGTACATAGGGGAGATATTATAGAAATTACTAGTACTTAGGGGTTTGGAGTATATTATAGTGTACTGTACTTACATAGGGGAGATATTATAGAAATTACTATTTTTTATACGGCATTGAGGGTTTCTGATTGAGGCTTTGGGGCTTCGGGCTTCTGTTCCTTTCTTCACGACAGGTGCACCTCGGTGTAAATGACTAGCACACATTCGAACACTTGGATGCCTAGTGGGTTGCCCTGCAATGATGCGTATGTTTACATGCTTCAAGGGCCAATGCCAATCCAAGCTACGTGTCCAACTGCTGCACTGGCAAGGTCCGGCCCTGAGATAGCGAAGCGGCCAGGTGCCACAGACTAGTCAAGCCTCGCGGATGCCGCATTTCGAACGTGGTGCTGTCATTGCTTGTCAACCGAAAACCGTACGCTTCAAGCATTTCAATGAAGCCCCTAACTCCCAAACTCAGAACCTGCATCTACCCGAAGATGTTGCATACATGCGCAAACCACAACCCCACTGTCTGTGCGGCCCTGTATTTGCCATACGTCAGTGCGAATGTAAACATGAGGCGTCATAAGGTTATCAGCTCGCACCTGAAGTCACGATGCGAACATCCTGAAACCTGGTACAGAAACCCGTGGTTCTAAATCCCGCCAAAATCGGAGCCATGCCTTCTTAATCAAAGTGCTCCAGGTATAGTGGAGCCCTTACAGTTCAACTTTTGCTTCGACTCCCTAAACCTTAGAAAGAAACCCTAAACCAACACCCCTGAACGGCCCTAATGCCTAAACCCCCAGATGCCAGGAGGCGCTGCCGCACGGCTCAGCTCCTCCGGATGTCGTTGCTTTCCTTCAAGGCGTCGTCTTGCTGCTGGCGACTTGGCGGCGTCGAGCCTGAACTCCTCTTAATAAAAAGTCTACTTACGTATTTATGTTGTTATATGTATGTGTATATGTACGTGTATATGTATATATACATCCGTGTACATATATATATATATATAGAGAGAGAGAGAGAGAGAGAGCGAGAGAGAGCTAGAGAGAGAGAGAGAGAGACAGAGAGGCGGTTTGCATTCCACCACTAAACCATGGGCGCCTTCGCCTGTTGGCTCCGTGATAGGTGATGTCGTTCGCTCTTCCGAAAAATGGCCCGGTGCCTTAATGCGATAGCCTGGCTAGTTGCGAACGAGTACCGGCTCTTCGGCCCGTCCATGATTTGCTCGACTGTCAAATGCAGAACCCTAATCTGTATTCCCCAACATTTCAGCAAGCACGAGATCCTTGTCAGAGCCTGAGTCGCGAGAGCAAAAGCACCCTAAACCCTAACACAATGTAGGGACCTTGATAAGTGGAATAGGATTTTGGGGCTCCAGTTTTCTTTATATGAGAAGGAGCCCCCCAAGGTAGTACTGGTAATTATTTAGGCGTTTTGTATATAATAAGGAACCCCCCAAGGTAGTACTGGTAATTATTTCGGCCCCTACATTAGAGCTGGCGATGTCAGAATTCAAATCCCCCGAGGCCGCGACCTTTGCTCTTCTGAAGCTGGGGAAGCTTGGATCCTTGGTTATGCCATGGAAGATATGGGACTTTCCGATAATTTGGGATACCTGATTTTGGGGTCCTTATAAGAAGGATCCTAGGTCCCCTATTTTCGCAAACCCCCATATATTAGGGGTTGTCTTTAAGGATCAGAGCTTTTCTTACAGGCGTTGCTGGGGTTTCGGTGTTTAAATTAGGAATTCTGCGTCTAGGGTTTCGGGCTTGGTGTCGCCTCTTCTTACTGCGTTTCCTATCTGGGTGCTCTAGTCTGCTTTAGCTTTTGGGTTAAATGGAAAGGCTACTCTCTCCGGCCTGGTTTCCATGCTGCACTGGTTCATTCCTTAGAGGTATTTAGCTTGATTTAGTGGCTGTGGCTGGCGGTAGGGGCGCCTTTTTTTTGAGGAGTGGGTGGGTGGTTTGGTAAATTAGTAGGCCTTGCTTGTCGGATGTTTTAAGACAGTTGATGAAGCTTGTGATTCAGGTGTTACAATGCCATCTCTGGCTTAGGCTGTGGGACTCTGGGGTTTGCATGAAGGGGTTCTGAGGTTAGGATTTTCTGAGCATGCCTAACAAAGCCCAAACCTTATTTAACGTACGTAGGCTACCAAAACCCTGATTTTTGAAGAGCAAACAAGTCTTAAAACCTTGAACTCCAAACCCAGGTGGCAGAGCTCCTTTCGCTTGGATCCATCAAGCTGTAATCCTTCTGCTGACCTACGAGCTTTGGCAGCTGATCCTTTGAAAGCTGCCAACGGTTCCGGGTTATCGGGTCTCTTTGGCACGGGCAGGAGATGACTAGGGCTTGCAAGGGCTCAGGGCGTTGGGTTTATACACCGGCTGAAGGTGCAGTTTTAGTTCTGAGGTGACTGCTAAGGGTTCAAGAAGGCTCAGGAGGTGGAAGAGTCTGCTTGGCGGGGCCTAAGTAGGAAACAGGCCACTTCAATATTTGGCCCCACGGCCCTAGCCCTGCCCTGTTTCGTCGAGGGCTTCGACCTCTGTTAGTTGGCAGCTTTACTGCGGCCGCCATTCAGAAGCAGGGTCTTTTCAGATTAGCGATCAACGCAGTTTACATCGGGAGTCTTTTAAATCTTGAGCTACTTCGACAAGACGCCTGTGGAACGGCGGCTTGATTAATGCCAACCTGGTTCCAGGGACCCACAGGACAGCGGGGCCATGCCGAGCCACTAAGACCGCATGCTGCCATCACAGGTTAAGGGCTGTGTTGTGATTGGGGTATTTTGGGCCACTTCACCATCGAGACCCTAATTACTACTCACATCCGCACTCATACCCGAATGGCCGTGTTCCGCTGTTCTTGGGTCCCTCCGGTAGCAGAGTCTGCCTTGGTTTCAGTTCCAGACTTACAGTACAGATCCGAAGCGAAGGCGGCCAGCTGCAAAAAGCGCACCCCACCCAACCCTACAAGCAGAATGTGGGTCACAAGAAACCTAGCTAGCTAAACCCAGGCCCGAAAAACCGGACGTGTGGCTAGAGGGTTTGAAAAAAGGGGTGTTCAGGGTGGAGTGTTGAGGGCTTCCTGGGTCTAGGTTATCATGCGGCCCTCTTGAAACCCGAGACTTTTCGGCAGCCTCGTGATACCCTCCTTTTGGTGTTGTAAAACCCTAAACCCTAAACCCTAAACCCTCTTGAAACTTTTCCGCAGCCTCCTGATACCCTCCTTTTGGTGTTGTAAAATTCCCAACTCCAGGGCCTTCAGATTGCAGGGCCCCTGAGACTTCCGACGGGCAAGCTTGTGGTTTAGGCCGTAGATGCGCTGTCGCACGGTTCTTTGTGGTTTTGCGTTGGGTTGGTTTGGTGTTCAGGATTTGGGGCTTAGTTGCTGTTCGGGGTTTCGGGTTTACGGCTGCGGCTAAGGTGCACGGCTGCAGGCTCCCAATCCGGAACCCACGCAGCCTGAACTTGGGTAGTTTTCTAAAATAGGGTCCCTTTGGGGGTCCTTTTTATAAGGGTGCCGTACTATATATGGGACCTAAAAAGGGACCCTAAACTTAGAGAACTACCCACTTGTTGCTTGCACATCCGTAAGGCCTCCGATCCTAGAGCCAAGCGCCTGAACCCTCAAGCCCGCGATAATGGCGTGACCTTGAAGAATGCGCCTCCCCCTTCCCAGCCAAATGTTTTTTGAAGGCAGCTGACTATAACTAACCTACCTGACGAAACTACTTGTTTTGTAGTTTGCACAACTCTTTCTGCAGGGAAAGTCAACATCAACACCGGGCAACCAGGACGACGATGCTGGCAGATTGTTAACAGCCCTGATAAGTGAATACTTCTGTCTGCAGTAGCTTTCTGTCACAGAGGTCCAGATAGTACTCGCTTACCAATGTCATGGTCACAGTCAGAAATGAAGCAACCAGAACACGAACGCGAACGATGTCAATGACACGAAACGGACAACTATGACAATGTCAAAACCCAAAACCCGATAAACCCTAAGCCGTATATTTTTCATCATATCTCTCGGCACCAAAACCCTAAACCCTATAAGCCCTAAACCGTATATCTTTCCTCATCTCTCTCGGCACCCGCGCTCCAAACCCTAAACCCTAAACCCTAAACCCAAACCCTAAACCCTAAACCCTAAACCCTAAACCCTAAACCCTAAACCCTAAACCCTAAACCCAAACCACTCGAAAGGCGTCGCTGGACCGCGAGGGAACTGCAGCAGGCCAGGGAGCTCCACAGTGTTCCCTGTTCTCACTCCTGAGGCGGTAGTGTAGGGTTTAGGGTTTAGGATTTAGGGTTTAGGGTTTAGTGGCCCTTAATATTTAGAAAAGGGTTGTGGCGGTACTTGGAGGATCATGGGGCTTTGTAAGTAAGGTTATAAGTCCATTAATTGGGGTTATAAGTATAGTTACCTTAGTTATAACCCTACTTACTAAGTCCCATGATCCTTTAAGTAGTGTAGGGGCCCTTAATATTTAGAAAAGGGTTTTGGTGGTTCCCTATTATAGTTATAAATAAAGACTATACCCCACCAAGCCTTGTTCTAATTACTAAGGCCCCTACATGAGGGACCGTCGATCTGCTTTCCTGAAGAAATCTTTACAGCTGTTTGAGGGTCTATAGTAGGGTCTTCCCAACTCCGAGCCGACACCTTGTGCAGCATCCTTCTGGGACCTGAGACGTTTGAGAAAGTCGCACCGAGGTGTCATCACCTGAACTTGCCCTGCTGCATGCCAAGGCGCCTATGAGGAAAGAGAATGGCCGAACCCCTCTGCAGCCGCACGCACAAGGAACTTGAAGGCGGCGGAAGTGCGGCTGCTCGTGAAGACGGAAGCCAAGACGGAAGTCCAGGGCAAACTGCAATTCTTCTTCGACAACTTGCAGCAAAGTCCACTGGAGCCGGCGAAAGAACCGGGGGATCGCAACAGCGAAGAGATACCTCGAGGCTGACGGGCTTGCCCCAGAATACGAGGCCGAGGAAGCCACGCCATTGACGAAGGCCTCCCTCAAGACTGACCACAGGGCCTCCCCAACCCCTCAGGTTGGAGACTCTGCACCTTGAAAAATGCCACAGCTCCAATGCCCCGAGGTGCGAGCTGCACATACCCGCTCAAGAGACACCAAAACCCCACGAAGCCCTGAAGGTGCTGATGATGACCCTGAGCCCCGAGCCAGGCCGCAATCGTATCATGCGCCAGTGGCTCACGAAGCATAAGGCAGAGGCCGGAAGAGTAGGGAGGATTCTTGTCAACGATTGGAGCTGGCGGTTCCTTGCTTGAGTTGTTCTGCTATCTGGGCTGCCTAGAATGTAGGTTGATTCTTGTTGGGGCTTTCTCACGGCCCATTTGTCTGAAATGGAGCTGTCTGCATATCCGCGAGTCTGAAGAAGAAGCAGCTTATCCACTATTTCAGGAGTTGAGGGGTCGCCCATAGTGTTACCCTGAGGCTCCAAGTTTTCAAATAGTACCTACTTTGGGGTCTAAAGTCTATAAACAGTACCTACTTTGGGTTAGTTGGAGCTGTAGGGTTACAGTCTAAGCAGAGAAGCTGCCGGATCAAGGCTAGTTTTGTGCTCGGGACCCGGAAATTCTAAACCCCCTCGAGGCCTAACTTCCAAAGCCAAAAAGACCCTGAACCCGATGCTATCCCAAGCCCAAAACGCTTAAGCCTGAGGTAGAACCCTGAGGCTCCAAATAGCCCAGTGTAGGTACTATTTGCAGACTTTAGAACCCCAAAGTAGGTACTATTTGATCACTTGGAGCCTTAGGGGAAGGGAACTTCCACAACAGTTGAACTCAACCCTAAACCTTAAACCCTAAACCCTAAACCCTCAAAGACCTGAACTCGGACCCACTGAAGGTGCCAAGGGCCTGGACCACCCTGGGCTTCCCTCGCCCCCCGGTGCCGGCGCCCGGATCGGACCTGAGAGCTTCAAGCAGCCAACTTCAAGCAATTTAGGGTTTGGGGTTTAGGTAAAAAGGGTTGTAAAAAGGGTTTAGGGTTGTTCACATGTTCAACAGTGATGGTCGGAAACAAGCCGAAGTTCTAGCCGGTATGCCGTGCAAATTACTGTTGCTACTGTGTGTGTGTGTGTGTGTGTGTGTTGTTAGAGATGGTCCCCGCGAGTTTCTTGAGCAAGTTATGGAAGTGCAGTCGAGAGCTAGCGCACAAGTCCTGATACAAAAAAGGGCTTTTATATGATATGGCATACTGTGCTTACAGTTTTTGAGGTTGTGGATGGTGGCAACGGTACGTATGACGACTGTAAAGGATGGGACCCAGTCCAAGGTATGACTGATACAACCGGACTGAGGCAAAGCTACGGTATGCTAGACTAGTTTCCGGAGTTATCCGAAACTCGGCTGAACACCATGATTAGGAGAGGTGCTAGGGCTGCTAGGGATGGCATATTAGTCTCCGCAAGGTATGACTTTTTCAGGCCTCATATATCCTGGGTTTTTCAGAGAACAGGGGACCACGAGACGATACCGGAGGGCAAATTGAATGTTGCGGAACCCTAGTCTGATACCTTTAGTTGCAGTGACCCCATATGATACAGGGTTTTATGCTTTACGGTCAGGGTTGAGGGTTTAGGCTTGGTGGTATATGTACCACATCCCGAAGAAGGAATAGAGCTAAAAACCCTTCGGTTTGTTACATTGTTGCCTGGACTGCGCAGTCAAGCCCTGATACCGGGCTTCAGGCGTTTGGGATGTAGGGTCGGGCTAGATGCAGTTATCTATGATCTCAACCTCACAGCACTCTTCTTTCAACCCTTGAAAGCCCCAAAACCACAGCCAGACTGCAAGCCCACCAAACACTGCGACCAAAGCTCTGAACGATCCCTTCCCAGTATAGTCCGTGGTATTTTGCGCCCTGCGGGTGCCCGATGAGTCCTGTTTCAACCCTGGAGCCGGATCCCTCGAACTTATTCATGAAAACCTTCTGACATGCAACCCCGACCCCTCCTCGTAAGTTGCGGATATTTCTTTCTGAGATTGAAATTCGGAGCCTTTGCTTTTCAAACTCCCCAACCCGAAACCATCTAAGCCCTGGCCCTGGCCCTAATCCCGAAATTTTGAGAAATCCTAAGCCGAGTTGTGAGCTTTGCGTCACACCGACTGTTGCACCTATGGATCCCTCGCCTGGCTTGTCCGAGTTGTGAAAGTGTAAACCGAGTTGTGAGAGCGCAAACCCCCAAACCCTAAATCCTAAACCCTGAACCCATAAACCCTCGTCAGTTCCTGGCTTCACAGGCACGCGTAAAGCCTGCCG